TATAAGTTCATCTATTTCTCTTTGAGAGTTTGTACACAAGAATGAAAAAAAAATCAGTGGTCTTTTTTTTTTCTTTGGTGAGAAAATGTATACATCTTAATGAGGAAATTAATATAAATTAAATGCTACTAAATTCAGAACTTACATTATTTCTAGTTTGGCTCTATTTGACAAGGTTGTGTAATTAATGTGTTATATTTTTTATTATTTTTTCAAAAGTATTCTTTCTTCCAGTGAAAATAATAATAATTTCTTTTAACTTTTGAAATGCAAACATTCTGGTAAACATTTAATAAAGAAAGAGAGGGGAGTGGGAATAGAGAGAGGAAAAAAAAAATGAAAGAGAGGGGGGAGAGGTAGGGAGACAGAGAGAGGGGGAAAAGGAGAGAGAGGGAGAGAGAGAGAGAAGGAAAGGGGAGGGAAGTGAGAGAGGGAGAGCAAGAGGGAGGGCAAGGGGAGAGAGTGTGGGAGACAGCTGGGGGGAGCAGGAGGGGAGAGAGGAAGAAAGAAAGAGAACACTGAGAGAAGGAGAGAGAGAGAGAGAGAGAGAAAGAAAGGAAGGAAGGAAGGAAGGAAGGAAGAGGAAGGAAGGAAGAAGGAAGGAAGGAAGGAAGGAAGGAAGGAAGGAAGGAAGGAAGGAAGGAAGGAAGGAAGGAAGGAAGGAAGGAAGGAAGGAAAAAGAACTGAGAGATAAAAAGCATAAGAGAGAAAGGAGGAGAAAGAGAAATGAAGGGAGTGAAAGAGAGAGAGAAAGAGAGGAAAGAGGGAGAAAAACAGGCAGGGAAAGAGTGAGAGAAAGAGGGAGTCTGAGAGAGAGGAGGGGAGAGAGAGAGAGGGACAGAGAAAACATGAGGGAAGAGAGGGAGAAAGTGAGGGAAGAGAGGGAGAAAAAGAGAGGAGAGAGGGAAAGGAAGAGAGGGAGAGGAAGAGGAGAGCATGAACAAGGGTCAGAATAGAGAAAGGGAGGGGGAAAGAGAGAGGAAGAGAGTGTGGAGGGGAATATGGGAGAAAGGGAGAGAGCAAGGAAGAGAAGAGGAAGCGAGAAAGGGGGAGAGAGAGGGAAAGAGGGATAGAGAGAGGAAGGGGGGAAGAAAGGGAGAGAGAGGAAGAGAGAAGGTGGGGAAGAAAGCAGGAAAGAGTGAGGGAGAGAGAGGGAGGGGGAGGGGGGAAGGGGGAGAGAAAGGGCCATGGGCCCCTCTGCTGAATCTTAGTATCAAATCGAATTTGATGCGTGTGATGCTGCTAGTGATGATTATTATACATCTTGTGGAACAATGAGTTGGGTGAAATATTCTAGATATGGGATTCCAACCATTGCTAAAAACTTGTTTATAAATCTTGCACAGAATATTGTGAAAGCATTCTCTTGTGGTTCAATTGGCCTTTGCCAAATTTGAAAACAAGACACGAATTAATGATATTCAAAAGAAGAGGAGGGATTGTTATATATGGAGCGGTAATTCATGTCGAGAAAATGGCTGATATTAATAAAGAAGGGGGAGATTTGGGAATGTGGCCATGGGGGTTGGAAATCCCCATGGTTGAGATAACATTAGATTCTTAACGACGAGGCCATCAGGAATATAAAGGAGTTTAGAGGGAACAAAGAAGGGTGATTCAGGAGACTCCATGCAGTCTCCGGTTTCTTGCTCTCCAGCTGCTTCTCTTGTTCTCCAGCCGTTAAGGCATGGAAGTTTCTGGGTGTTTGCTGTTGTTGTTACATTCAAAGTTATTTGACCAATGAAAAGTTGTTTTGAAAAGAACTGTGGGGAGAAGGGTATAAGAGGGGAGCCTTCAATAAAGAAGCAGGAAAAAGAAGTGAAGAGGAACAGACTGGCAGAATTGGGACCAGGATGGGAACAGGCATTTTGATTGCCTCATGAAGATAGGTTCAGCAAGACTCAGCAAACCGCTCAGAGAAGCTCATACAGAAAGTTGCTGGAAATAGGTGCATTGGAGCTGGAGAGAAGCTCGAGCAGAGAGAAGCGTACCCGCGCACACAACTGCCTCTCACTGGTCAGCAGTTGCGCATTATGGGGAATCATACGTCCTTAGGAACAAAGACTGTCCTGGTAACCTTACAGCTTATTCTCCTTCTTAACAATCAGACAGTTTATGATCCTGAAACATGGGACCAAACTGAGGTCAAGGCGTGTGACTCTGCAACTAAAAACGACAAGGTTGCAGTGGGATTGCTCGGCACCTGGCGAGGAATCTCTGAGACCTTAAAGAGCCCTGTGGAGCCACAGTCAGAAACGTGTGGTTTGCCAGATAGTGAGGGAGCTGTGGGCTCCTTTACTGATCCGACTCCTATGCCATGGGCCCCTCTGCTGCTACAGCCATTGAAGGCTTTTGCTTTTACGCCCCCTGCTGACCTGGACGTGCCTTTTGACCCAGGCCTGTTGGCCTTGAAAAGGAGATGGATATGCTTTTCTTCAATCTGGGAAGAACGGGATACATGAGGCCTGAAGACCGAGTTGCTTGACAACTTAAAGCGAGACATATTGTTCAAAAGGAATGGCAAATGGAGACTGTTAAGTCATGGAACTTAAAGGATTGTTTGTTACCTTTTCTGATTGTATAGGCATACTCGAGTTTAGTATGTAAAGCAATGTTCTGAATGTTTAATGTTTGTGTGTGCGTGGTGGTGGAGCGCAGACTCCCCACACACCCAGCACTGTTTACTTGCCTTTTATACCTTTTAGAAATATTTGTTTTATAAATATTACAAAATTCAGATTGAGTTGAGACCTCATTTATAACACCGGGGAAGGGAGGGGAGGGAGAGAGCGGAAGAGGGTGAGAGGGTGAGAAAGAAAGAGAGATAGGGGATAGAAGAGAGAGAAAGGGGGAAAGATTGGGGGGTGTGGGGGAGAGAGAGGAGGGGAGAGGGTGGATAGAGAAAGAGAGAGAGTTGTTTGTCTGTGTTGTATTTCAGAGCTGCTTCGCTATTAGTCCATGGAATGGTAGGCCATACGCAGCTAATACTGCTAAGGGAATGGGGTATGCAAAAGATTGTAAAGATTCTAAGACTAAATGGGCAAACATTGACAGCTCTTGCAATTCACTGAGCCATTTAAGATGAGCAATGAGTCAGAGCTGTAGTCCGACTGAGAAAGATCAATACTGAATGCTTTATCATAGCTATTTCCAATGACAGGAATAATAATGCAATATTTATTTCTTGTGCAAGGTTGATTCAAGCAGCATTTTTCTACCTCTCATGAATTGGGATGTACCTCTTCTAGTGCAAAATAAAGATATTTCACTGTGTTTAATACTGTGAATCTATTCAATCTGGTTACTAAATACGTTTATATATTTTTCAGATAAAGTTAGTTAATTAAACTTTCTGTGAAAATCATGGTAACTGAGTGTAAGGCTCACAGTAATGGTAGTAAGCCACCAAGGCAGAGTGTAGCATTGTACAGTTTCAGTACTCCTCTCTATGAAATAAAGGGGAATAAACAAACAGCTGGACCATGGCTTTATGTCAGGTGAAACAGAAAAAAAAAAAAAAAAAAAGAAAACAGATACGATGAAAGAAATCAAAATCATTTCTCCTAATCCAGGAAAGAGACCACATGGAGAGTACATGTAGAATAAAGCTAGGAATAACTGAAATGTTCATGAAAGGATCACTTAGTTCATGTTAGCCTCCATGGTTTTTATCTGTTGACTTCCAGTATCCTCTTTACATCCTAAATGTCTTTGCAACATTCAGGGAGTGCACTGATAGGATAAGGAATAACAGGTTTAATTTTAAAAGGGGTAGATTTAAATTAGATGTTAGGAAGAAATTCTTTACTACGAGGGTAGTGAACCACTGGGAAATATTGCCCAGAGAAGCTGTGGATGCCTCATTCCTGGAAGTGTTCAAGGCCAGGCTGGATGGGGCTTTGGGTAACCTGGTCTGGTGGGAGGTGTCCCTGCCCATGCCATAGGGGTTGGAATTAGATAATCAGAAGATTTCTTCCAATCCAAACCATTTTATGATTCTATGATCCTCAACTCCCCAGCTCCTCATCACCCCCCCTCCCTACCTTCCCCCCCAAAAATCATGACTATCCATGACAAAACATAAATCAACTGCTATTTTCCCATTTTCTGTGTGGTAAAACTGCTTCAAGTCTAAGAGTATCTTAGTCTTCAAGTCTCTAAGAACTACAAGGAAGTAAATAAAATCAACTACAATTAACATGCAAAATTTTCTAGCTTCTGTTTCTCTGATCATATACCTACCTCTTCATGACCATCTACAACAAAAGATTCCTCATATAAATATATGGAAGTGTACATTTCCATCAAAAGTTAACATTTCAAGTTAAAAGAAACTATAAAACATGTTAAATTTTTAACTCTAATGAATTATTTATATAAATTATTCATTAAGGTTTTTATTGGAAGCTTTCTTTGGCATGCTTATTAAATGTCTTGATGTATTTATTGTCAGTTGTAAAACTGTTGTCACAAGGGTTCAATTTCTTTTACAGTATATTTGTCTACTCCTTGTGAAATGTTTTGAAGGCACATAGATTGGCAGCTACTTTCAAAAATTAAGTAGAATATAGAATATTTCTTAGGAGTACACTCTGTTTTTACCAGTACTTAATCATCCATCTGGTTTAGCATTGTTATCAGAGATGAATTTCAAAGACTATGAACTAACATTTTTTTTTAATTACTTTAAAAACTATAATGTTTCTCAGATCTCTTCCTCCAACCTTCTCTCCTGATTCTCTTATGTAGAATATTCTTGTTTTAACAAAGATAAACAAGTAAACAACTGTAAGAATATTGTTCCTTACATTCAAATTTGAAGGTTCTTTGCATCATTTTTTTCTCAAAACTGTCAGAATGTGTCCATCATAATTTCTTAAGTTTCAGACAGACTAGAAGTTCTGCCTCTGTTATCATTATTTATTTTTGGGAGGGTGAAGGAAGGAACTGAGAAGGGAATAATTCATTCTGCATTTATTCTATTAATTCTGGACTATGTACAGACAGATGGGCAGTACTCAGTATTTGGAATACTGAAGAAATGTGGTATACTAGTAGTTAGAAATTCATTGCGAATAACACAAGAATTTTGATCTTTCTTTGATCTAACTGAGAAATCAAGAAAGATATGCTTCATATAAAGTGTGCTTCCAGATTCTAGTAGGGCTGTTCTGTTCCCCAATCTTCCTCAGCCATCAAGAGGTGCTAGAAAAAGAACACTTGTTCCTGATGTTTTCTGGAATATGTGGTATTTGAGCTTTACAATCATCCTGAATAAATAAATAAATAAATAAATAAATAAATGAACTCTTCCATATGTTACAGCATTTCACAGAATCACAGAATCACAGAATTACTAGGTTGGAAGAGACCTCAAGATCATCGAGTCCAACCTCTGACCTAATGCTAACAGTCCCTGCTAAACCATATCCCTAAGCTCTACATCTAAACGTCTTTTAAAGACTTCCAGGGATGGTGACTCCACCACTTCCCTGGGCAGCCTGTTCCAATGTCTAACAACCCTTTCGGTAAAGAAGTTCTTCCTAACATCCAACCTAAAACTCCCCTTGGTGCAACTTAAGCCCATTCCTCCTTGTCCTGTCACCAGCCACATGGGAGAACAGACCAACCCCCACCTCGCTACAGCTTCCTTTAAGGTACCTGTAGAGAGCAATAAGGTCACCCCTGAGCCTCCTTTTCTCCAGGCTGAACAAGCCCAGCTCCCTCAGCAGCTCCTCGTAGGACTTGTTCTCCAGGCCCCTCACCAGCTTCGTTGCCCTTCTCTGGACTCACTCGAGCACCTCCATTCAGATTGTATTTTTTTTTTTCCTGGTTCCACCCCCAACCCCCTTTATACCTTGTTTAAAGCTCTACTAATGAACCTTGCCAGCTCCCATCCTAAAACCCTTTTTTGCTGGTGGAAAAAGCTATTCTCTGTTGTCAGCAGGCCTGGTTTCATGTAAATCGAGACAAGGTCAAAAAAACCAACCCCCTGCTGGTGACATCAGGAGCCAAATATTAATCCACTGGCTCATCATGTGCCGTCCTTCATTATTTCCTGTACCATCAGGGGGCAGCTACCTTGGCAAGTGGCTGCAAAATGGTGGCAAAGCCTGATGTAAATGGCCCACCACTGCTCGGCTCCACCTGTGCCTCATCAGCCTCCCTCCTGAGGGATGCTGGGCCCTGGCAACTTCCTCAGCTGCCTTGAGTGGCCTTGATGCTGGAAAAAAACAACTCTGCTCGCCTCAATCCCCTGCTCTGCTGCAGAACATGTCCACTCCGGAGCCCATCACCTTGGTGAGTAGATGCAAAAGGGCTGTGACGCCCTGTTTAAATGACCAATACTGTTCTGTCTTACTTCACCCACATTATTTTCTTGAGAGCACCAGCAGCAATCATAACAGACCAGTCCACTTACACATCAACAGGATGCTGCACAGCACAGAATTAGAAATAAGAAACATTAGGGTTTATCAGACCACGGTAACTTTCTTGAAATTTCTGTTTAATCTTATCTCTGAGGAGATGGTTTTAACAATACTAGAGTTATTCTGCTATGCTTTTCAGAGGCCTGCCTGTGTAATTTATTTTGAAATTTATTTTGCCCAGGGAGATTTTACCTGTGTCCTGCAGTTTCCCCTGTGCTCAGGTAAACTGGCCTCTTAAAACACGGTGTGTGAAGATATGCCGGAAGTACCACTCAGCAATATTATACTCAGACAGAAGGGAAGGATGCCCTTTTGTCCTTTCCCTAGTCATGGCATATTTCCTCATATATTAAAAGCAATATATAAAGAATCTGCAGGTTTTCTATAATGAAAAGATTTTACATTCTGAAAATCATACAGTTAAACAAATGATCCTGGATTATGTTAACTTGTTACAACTGACAGGCCTACCACTACCATCAAGTTTAAGAAACACAAAGTTTCACAAAAATATCAGCTCTGTATTTTGTCCCAAATCTAGAGGCTTTCATAATATCTGGGGGCTGAAACAAACATGATCATCAATCTTTTTAATATGCACTTCAACATTTCATTTCCAGTTGTTCAAAGTTCTTGTTAAAAGTTCAATTAATTTTGTGACTTCTGAATATTCCCATTGGATGAATATCAACATTTTAAATAAATAAATAAATTCTAGAACACAATTATAGCAAGTAATTAAGAGGATATATGAAGATTACAGTCATGATGTGCTTGTTATGCCAAATAAGACAGTATTTTCTAATCTGCAACCATTATCCTGACACGTTGCAGCTATTTTTCCACTATAAATCTGGTATAAACATATATATTTAAATAAATAACTGCAGGAAAATAAACAGAAGTACAAAAAATCTACTGTGTATGGTAAACTATGATCATTATGTGTAGCAGAATACATTATATATGTGTATTTTATTACTGTTTAGAGTAACAACCTTTTGGATTATGTCAATATTTTTAGGTCTCATAGAGTATTTTGGTCCCTTCCAGTCATTTGTCTTCCAGCCCAATCATTTCTACCTTAATATGATAGATTTCTACATTTCATAACTTTGTCAATGGAAAAGAAAGAGAAATCACAATAAGGTTGTACATAAATACTACATTTTTTAATTTACTTTTTAATATTACAGATATTGCAGCATGCTGAAGACTGTCTTCCACAAAAATAATAAAGCTGACTTTTGGACATGGGGTGGAAATATGGATGATTATAGTCTTTTTTATTTTAAGTCATATAAAATAATTTAATTAAATTCTAAAATTCTACTGTAAGATATTAAATTTGTTTGATTGTTTTTATTTCCTTTTCTTCCTGTTGAAAGCATGAAAACTTTGAAATAAATCAACATCAGTCAAATGTTGTACCACAACACTTTGATCATAGAATCATAGAATAATTTAGATTGGAAAAGAGCTCTAAGATCATCTAATCCAATCTTTAACCTAGCTCTGCCAAGTCCACCATTAAACCATGTCACCAAGCTCTACACCTACACATTTTTTGAAGACATCCAGGGATATTGACTCATCTACTTCTCTGGGCAGTTGGTTCCAATACTTCACAACTTTTTCAGTGAAAGAGTCTTGCATAATATCTAATATAAACCTCCCCTGGCACAACTTAAAGCAATTTTCTCTTGCCTTATCACTTGGTGTTTGGTAGAAGAAACTGATCCCACTTTGTGATAGCTTCTGTTAAGGTAACTCTAGAGTGCAATAAGGTCTCCCCTGAGCCTCTTTTTCTCCAGGCTAAACAACCCCAGCTTCCTCAGTCACTCCTCATAAGATTTCTGCTCTAGACCCTGGACAGTAACTAAAACTCAAACACGCAAACACACACACACACAGATGCGTAAGCACACCCACACTCTCTCTTTTATTTCAAAATTTAATTTCAAACATAATCAGGTTTAAAATAATCAGCCAAAACACTAATAAAATAACAATATTAAAAAAAAATAAATAAAAGCCAACAGTTCACGTAGTATCTTTCAGAGGGAAATAAAAGATCATATTTTCTGCCCTTCACACACACATTACTGGACACTACTTAAAAATAAATAAATAAATAAGTCATAAAACAGGAAAATATGCTTACACATACTTGATACTTAATCCCATAGAGAGGCTTCTCAAAAATTACAGCTAACTTCTGAAGTAATTCTGCATAGTGACCAAGTGCCCACATTTTTAATGGACTGTATCAGCCTTACAGGAATTGTTACTGGAACAGTTGTCCTGTTTAAAACCACAAACTTAAAAGACACAATATTTGCTGACTTTCTGAAAGAAGATAATCGAAAGCATGCTTTCAGTAAACCATAACCATTCATTTCACACAAGAGAACTGTAGAGAGAACTCCACCCTTTTCTGGATGCTAAAACTGAAGCTGAACAGCATTTCCTTTACAATCTGTGTTTGCTGAAGAAGCTGCATATATACTTACAGTCATTCATATTTTTTCAACAGCTGTTCAAAATAATGAAATTCCATGGGTTAAGGCTGTTCATTTTAAATTATCATGTGAAGTGCTGAGTCCTTTTGGCCAGATATCAAATGCCCTCCCACTTTTATTAGCCAATAGAAATGTCTATTTCTGTTATAGGATTTCTATTTCTATATCCAATTTCTATAGGATATAGAATGACCATTATAGGATAGCTTGAAAGACTACTAAGAGTGACTACTGTCCCTGAGACTCTGGGAAAGCTGGTGTGCTGAGAGACATTTTTAGAGACCTGCTGCTCCACCTGGACTGTCAAAAGTCCATGAAGCCAGATGGGATCCACCTGAGGCTGTTGAGGGAGCTAGCGGATATGACCGCTGAGCCGCTTTTCACCATCTATCAGTGGTCACTGTCATCTGGAGAGGTCCCAGATGACTGGAGACTTGTGAATGTGATGCCAATATATAAGAAGGTTCATAAGGAGGACCCGAGGAACTGCAGGTCTGTCAGCCTGCCCTTGGTGCCAGAAAAGGTGATGGAACAGGTCATCTTGACTGCAATCACACAGCATGTGAGGGGCAACCAGTGGATCAGGCCCATTTGGCATGGATTCGTGAAAGGTAATTCCTGTCTGACCAATGTCATCTTCTTCTATGACAATGTAACCCACCTGGTGGATGAGGGAAAGGCTTTTGACTTAGTCTACCTAGACTTCAGCAAAGCCTTTGATGGGGTCTTCCACAGTATTTTTCTGCAGAAGATGGCAGCACATTGGTTTGGACAGGTACACACTGCTGGGTTAAAAACTGTATGGATGGACGGGCCCAGAGTGTGCTGTTGAATTTAATGAAATCCAGCTGGCAACCAGCAGTGTTCCTCAGGGGTTGGTGTTGGGGCCTATCCTCTTTTATATCTTTAGTGATGATTTAGATGAGGGTATTAAGTGCACCCTTAGTATATTTGCAAACACCAAACTGGGGAGAAGTGTTGATCTGCTGGAGGGTAGGAAGGCCCTGCAGAGGGATCTGGACAGGTTGGATCAACGGGCAGAGATCAACGGGATGAGATTCAACATGGCTAAGTGCTGGGTCCTGCACTTTGGCCAAAACAACTCCATGCAGTTCTGCAGACTTGGGGCACAGTGGCTGAAAAGCGGTACGGAGGAAAAAGATCTGGGGGTGTTGATCAATGATCACCTGAACATGAGCCAGCAGTGTGCCTAAGTGTCCAAGAAGGCCAACAGCATCCTGGCTTGTATCAGGAATAATGTAGCCAGAAGGACTGGGGAAGTGATTGTCCCCCTGTACTCTCTGCTGGTGAAACCACACCTTGAGTACTGTGTTCAGTTTTAGGCCCCAAGAAGGACATCGAGGTCCTGGAGCATGTCTGGAAAATGGCTACAAAGCTGGTGAAGGGCCTGCAACATGTTTTATTCAGACCAGCTGAGGGAGATGGGGTTGTTTTTGTCTGGGGAAGAGGAGTCTATGGGGAGACCTCATTGTTCTCTACAACTACCTGAAAGGAAGCTGTGGGAAGCTGGGTGTCATCCTTGCAGATAACTAGTGATAGAACTAGATGAAATGGCCTCAAGTTGCACCAGAAGAGGTTCAGGTTGGAAATTAGGAGACACTTCTTCTTCTTAGAAAGAGTAGCTATCTATTGGGATTCAGACCATACGACTAAGAGCATAATCCAAATGCCTCTTAAACTCCGACAGGTTTGGTGCCATGACTACATCCTTGGGAAGCCTGTTCCAGTGTGCAACCACCCTCACCATGAAGAATTGTTTCTTGATATCCAGCCTGACCCTCCCCTGTCACAGCTTGACTCCATTCTCTCAGGTCCTATCACTGGTCACTAAAGAGAATAGATCAGTGCCTGCCCCTCCATTCCCCCTCATGAGGAAACTGTAGGCCATGATGAGGTCTCCCCTCAGTCTCCTCTTTTCCAGGCTGACCAGGCCACGTGACATCAGCTGCTCCTCATATGTGTTCCCCTCTAGGCCCTTCACCATCTTTTTGCCCTCCTCTGGACACTCTCCAACAGTTTCATGTCCTTTTTGTACTGTGGTGCCCACACTTGCACACAGTACTCAAGGTGAGGCCGTACCAGCACAGAGTAGCATGGGACAATCACCTTC